TTTTTTTTTTTTTTTTTTTGCCTCGGGAAATGTGCTCATCAAAGCTCTGCTAACTTACAGTGAAACTCACAAGTTAGCTGACCACCAGTCACTCTGAGAATGCAGAAGGGGATGGTCGGATGGGACCTGACACTGTACCACCCTTTGGTGGCCCTGGCCTCATATCCTTTGTCCTGGCAATGGTCACTGTAGTGACTGCTCAGGGACTTTAGACAAATACAAAGGCATTTCTGATTTATTTTCTGTCTAGGATGAGACCAGTAAACAGGGGCGGAGAGAGAGGGGTCTGTAGCCTGTGTCATGTGGCACAAATTTTGCCTTTTCCCTATTCTGGAGTCCTATGTCCCAGCCATCAGGCCTGCCAACCATGCTTGAAACTTTTTCTAACCCCAGGAGCACGGGAAGTGCATAGTACATTGTGTATTTCCAATGCTGAATCTGTCCATCAGAACAGAGGCCCATTAGTACCCAGGATGGTCCCCATGCTGCAGGTCCAGGGTGTGGCAGTTGGAGTGTAGAATGAAGGGACAGAATGGAGCAGAGCTGAACCCAGCATACACACCTTTGGCACCACTGGAATGGGTAACATGTCCGGGAGACACAAAAAAGTGCCCCCTGACCACTCCTGGAAGTTTGCTCTCCATTCCATTCAATTCCTCTGAGCCCCAAGAGGCAGTAACTGGGCTACAGTAAGCTCTCCCTCCTGCTCTGGGCCTCAGAGACAGAAGAGGGGAAAGGGCAGGATCACTGGGCATGGGACCTCCAGGTAAGACATCAAAGTGCTTTACAAACAAATCTGGACCTTTAGGCGGAGTCTGTCCTATATCCGGATATTGGGTGTGGCTACAAAATCTAGTGCTTCAGCCCACAAACCCATATACCCCTACCCGTTCCCTCTAAGAGAACAGTGGCCCACTCAATGCATCCTTTTCTGATGTTCAAGCATTTTCCTTTTCTTCACCTCCTCATTCCTCCTCCTCTCTCCCAGTATCCTCCTAAGCCTGGCATCAGAAGAGTCGAGGCTCATGGGGCTTTCTTGTTCACTCACACAGTTTGTTAAAACCCAGCACCCTGGAGCAGAGGCAGACAATCCCCGCTTTCCCAGTCTTTAGCCACAGGAGGAAGCCTGGGCCTGCAATTCAGAGCTGAGCTGTTGGCACGACTCTCAGCACTGCAGTTGGGCTTTTAAAGGGGCCACTTGAGATGAAGGACATGCTTGTAAACTATGAGGCACTACACAATGTCCAAGAGTCTTATGATGGCCAAGGAGCTTTGCAACAGCTCCAGTGACGGGGCCCTACGCAAACCCCTGCATAGTCTCTCCACAAAGCTCAGGCTGTGCCTGTAACAAAACCAGAGAAGAAGGTAGGGCCTCTTCTCTATGGTCTTTCCTAAAAGAGAGTTCAAAGGAAGAGTCCAGAACAGCATATCAGCAGGAGACAAACACCACGGCCTTGAGGGAAAGTCATGCCCACCGATGGGGCCCTCCCTCTGGGGATGGGAAACAAGTCTCCCCCAGACCAGCCCAGTGGAATGTCCATCTTGGTACCTGGCATAGTTACCAAACACCTCAAAGGCCACTTTCCTGGCCTGGCATGCATCCTGAAGAGGTGCAGAGTTGGAAATCTCTGAGTCTCCGGGTATGTGCTTCCCCTAGGCCAGTGGCATTAAACACGCCCACAAACCACAAGTAAAATATATTATTGCAATATTATAAACAATATATACATGACCATCTGGCATATTGTCTGTGTTCCTTCCCCCCTACACGGTAGCTGAATGTCCTCTTGTATAAGGCCCAGGGCCACTTGCTGGGATCCCCCAGAGGTATTTAGCAAGGTGACCTTACCCAGAGCAACCTAAAGGTTTCTAACCAGGAAGAAGGCAGCCACCTCTTACCCAACCTGTGACTACCGCACCAAGAAGAGCTCACTTTGTCCAGAGATGTAGAGGAGGAAGGAAAGAGCGAGGGTTTTTCAGGCTCTTTGGGATGAGTGGTTGTGTTTCTCTTGACAGGGGACTCTGGACGGTCTCATGTGGAGCCCGCAGTAACCTGCAGAGTCCCAGGGGGCCTGGACTCCAGGCTCTGGAAAATGGTGGGTAATAAATAAGGACCCACAGGCCCAAGGCCACTTCCTGAGGGGCTCAGGCTTCAACCACACAGGCGAGCTGGTGGATGGGTCCAGCACACTACCATCAGTGGCGCCTTCGGCCTGGCCTGCTTCCCAGCACAGTCTTGTAACAGCAGTTATGAGATGGGTGAGATGGGTCTCCAGGTTTGGAGGCAGCAGGGGGGCCCCATCTCTCCCAGAGAGGAACATGCTGAGAGCTCCTGCCAAGGGGACGCTGAGCCAGGGACTCAGATTTCCATGAGCGTGATCTTGAAGCCTTCCACCATGCTCTCCATGTTGAGGATGAAGGTGTCCTCGTTGGAGTAGTGCTCGATGATGTTGTCATCCATATTTACCAAGATGCTGCCAAGGTGTGGGGGGTGGGGTAGAGAACAAAGATACTGTGAACAGCAGGCTCAGTATAAGGGTAAGCTGCAGGGGGTGGGGAGGGGTGCTCTCTCAGCCTTTCTTTTGCAAAGGAGGCTGAGAGGAGTGGTAGAGAGAGGAGATCAGGCCAGGAAAGGCCCTCATTTTCTTTTGTTTTCCCAAAACCCAGTTTGAGGAAAGTAAAACCTCAGTGTCTCAGAACTACCCTTATGGCTCTTTATTAACCAGGATTTAAGAGAATGTTCCGTCCAATTCAGTCCAACTCTTGTGCTTTATAGATTACTAAAGTAAGGCTCAGTGAAGTTAGCAGAGCCAGAAATCACAGAGTTAGCTATCGACCGAACCACAATCTAAATAGGGAGGCCTCCTGTCCATTTTCATTAAGCCATGTGGCCTCTGCTGTTATCAGGGAAAGCAGAATACACAGAATTGCAGCTGCCTTTTGTTGAATACATAACATGTGTTTGTGTATCAGAGATCTTGTATTTAATCCTCATGGTAACCTTGAAGGTAGGTTTTCTGATCAGCACTTGCAAATGAGAAATGGGGCTGAGAAAGGTGAAACCACTTCCCCAGGTTCATCCCCCTTGTTCGTGGCTAGCCTAAGTTTTGAAACTTACTTCGCCTCACTCAGAAGCTCTTACTTCACCTCCTGTGACCTATTCCTTGGCTAGCTACCCCTGGTGGATTTAGTTCTAAGAAAACAACTTCCAGAGTCTATCCACGGTTTAGAAGTCCTTAAGTCAGTCTCATTTTTGGAAGTCATACAGATCTTAGTTGGAGAATGAACCGTGGACTCTATCATTTTGCAGCTAGGTGTCATCACACAAGCTGTTTAGACTTTTAGAATCACAATTATTCTTTTGCAAAACTAAGAACCATCCAGCTATAGAGGGTTGTTGGGGGACTACAAGCATTTATCTATCACAGGGCTAGAAGCACATTCATTGTTACTATGGGCAGCACACGCGTCTGCACTGAGGATTTCTGCTCAGCAATAGGACTTTGAGACACCACTCAAAGGAATACACCCAGTCTACTGCATTAACCTTGGACAGAATTGTGACGTGCACTTTTGTGAGCTTTCCAATGAAAGTTCAAGTTGAAGGGTTTCCTGCTTGACCTCCAATAAGCCAGAGGTTCTATCACTCAGAAAGCCTGAGAATCCCACATTATCCATTTCCTTTATGAAAAAGGCCCAGAGAAGAATGTAAAGCCCTACTTCCTGCTTTTGTAGGAAAATGGCTGCAGGAATAGAGTCAATGGAGACATTCTCCTAGGATTAAATCCTGTGGTTATTACTCTTAAAACTTCAAAAAGAGGAAGCCTCAGGAGGACTCAAAAGTAGATAGCAGAACGCTGGTGCTAATAAGCACTTGAACTTTGAGCCACAGAGTGAGGAGTACATAGAGGAATGCAATGTAAAGCACTTAGCAGAGGACCTAGAATCTACTGCACATCCAATAATAACACCAAGAACAAGCAGATCCAAGGATCCTTTGAGAACATTTTGTTAATCATCACCTTGGAAAATTTCCCTCTGTCCACTTTTTGTTCCCATCATGCCACCCTGAAACCAACCTCAAGAGCCACATGTGACTTCCTATGAATCCACTCTTCTCAGAGGGATGACTTTGCCATTCTCCCCCGTGTCCTCGCCACCTCCAGACCCCTCTAGTCCACCTGCTAATCCTGCCATTGGAATAGGGCATCTCAGCTACCATCATGACCATGTGATGTCTTCCTCCCTCATTAAAGATCCTCAAAATGCACTGCACTCACAGGCTGCTCTGCCGTCCTCTAGAAGGACGACACCAGTTTTATAAAGATAGATGGCAGGTAACAAAAGACAGGAACCATTTTTAAAAATGCATCATGCAGACGTGTCTGATGTGAAAGTCAATTTAAGTTCAGTTTGTTTCTTACCCTTTTTTGCTTTTCTTGTACAGCTTTGCTATCTTCTCCACAGGCAGCCCGTACTTCTCAGAGATCTGCAACACCGATAACAAGAAGGCAGGTGAAGGGGAGCCCGAGTTGGGGCAAGGGAGAAGGTTCCAATTTCCCTCTCTTGGGCATTTTCCTGAGAACATCATGGTCTTGACTCATGAGTTAAAGTCTAAAACACTCACTTTGTACAGACCTTAATAATTTGACAAAAAAGATTTGGCCACTTAGGGTTTCAATCTATGATAGAAGGTGGTATTTCAGATCAGTCAGGTAAAGATGGGTATCCAGTCATGATGCTGGATTAGGTAGGTGGCCATATAGAAAAAAAAAATTTAACAAGTTAACTTGGACCCCTTCTCTACTCCTTATATTAAAATAAATTTCAGGTGGATCAAATAATTACATGTGAAACACAAAACTATAAAAACACAAGAAGAAACCAGGAGTAAATTCTTCATATAACTATCATCTTAAAGTAAAGAAGATCTTTCTAAATGAGACTGACATCTGGTGGGAAAAAAATGTTAAAAGGTTAAACAACAGAATTTTAAATACCTGTATATATAAACCACCATAAAAAAACTGGCAATGATAGATACAGAGCTAACTTTAAGTTAAAAAGAGCTACAAATCAAGAAAAAAATAAACTAACAATTGAATGGGGGAAAAAAAGGGGAACAACTTGGGAAAGCAATTCACAGAAGGAAAATATACCCAGACAATAAACATATGAAAAAATGCAACACTTCCCTCACAATTTACAATTTTTTGAATTAAAGCAATAGTAGGATACTACTTTTAATTTATCAGACTAACAGAAACAAAAAAACAATAGTAATACAAGTATCAGTCACAGTATGAGAAATGACAGCTCTTGTATTCCATAGAAAGAAGAGGAACAAGTTCAACCTTTTGGGAAAAAAAAATATGGCAGAAACTATCAAAATTTAAAATGCATATATCCTTTGACTCATATGTGCCATATATAGTAATCTAATCTACAGAAATACATGCATAAGTATGCAAAGATTTTCAAAAACTCAATGTTTATAATGAAGAAAACTATATATAACAAACATTCATTAAACATTTTGATATTTGCACAATTGAAAACTGTGCAGTCAATTAAAAACACATGGGAAGCCTACAGGTTTTCACATTTTTAAAAATATCTATAACATATTAATTGAGGGATAAACAAGTTGTGAAACAGTGTATATTGGATGATTTTTTTGTATTTTAAAATATATATATATAGAGAGAGGGAGATTTAGATATAGATTTATTATTAAGGGACTCGTCAATCTTTTAACAGTGGCTACCATTGAAAAATGAACAGAAACAAGGAGAGTGTTCTGCTCTGTACTTTGTACAGCTCTGGCCTGTTTATTTTCACAGTCATTATGCCACTTCTATAAACACCAAGTACTAATTGAGAGATGGGTTCTGGGAAAACCAGTCTCAAATGCCTGCCATGTTCTTTCTACTCCCCCAGGGGCCAGTGAGGCTCACAGGCAGTTGAGGCAGGTGAGCTTTGGGACTTGATTACTGAAAGTCTCCCAGAGTCTAGAAAAAGAGGATGGAGAGCTCTAGAAGAAAGTTGAGACTACTTTGGATCTTGGGAAGAGCTTATTTTGCCGAGAATCGCAGGTTCCCATTCTTCTTCTCAGCCTGTAGAAAAACTCTCCACCCCCCAATATGCTTAGAAGGAGCAGAACCACTGGGCTGAGGGCTAGGGGAGTGAAGAGAAGTGGATAATCGGCACCTCTGCCTGCCACACACCATTGATTTGTCACTGATGAGGTTCCCCAAAGCCCAAACGAGTCAAGTGTAAAGAAGAGCACATCTAAGTGGGCCCTGTACGCAGTAAAGAAAATTGACAAAACTTATATAGGAGGCATCCATTTGAATACAACAAAAGCCCACTGAAGAAGACGACAAAAGAACACTTACAAAGAACACTTATGAAGCACATGAGCAAAATTTCAATCTAAAAATATGATTAGTGAATCTCAAGATTCAGGCAATAGGTGGTAATTTCAACAAGCCAGATATTATTTGGAAAAATCAATTTATCTCAAAATGCAAAGCAAAATATAGACAGAAATCATGAAGGAAAGGAAGAAACTTGAATAGTCAGTTACATACAATACAAAAACCATCTTAGAGAAGGAAGAGATGGAGAGGAGGAAATAATTAAATAATAGAAGAGAGACCCATGTTTTGGGATGAAAGGGGAGAGAGAGGTCTCCTGAATCCCAGGGGAAATCAGTGAGAAAAGACTCAGACATCTGGTCACTTGGAAAAGTAAAGAAAACATTCTGGCATCTTCTGGACAGAGAGAAAAAGTTACCAAAGCTGGGAGGGAGGATAAACCTAGCTTCACTCTTCTTATCTGCAATACTAGAAACCAAAGGACAGTGGACTAATCCCTACAGACCACAGAAAACATTTTTAGATCTTTGGGGGAGATTTTAACAATCACCTTGGCTATACAGTAGTGCACCATCTCTTCCTTAGAAACTCAAATTCCTGTAGTAACTGTTTGGGAAGATATTAAGTCATATCTACCAAAACTAACACTAAAGAGTTTCCGTTAACATGTCAAGATTTCCACGTCTGGTAAGACACTCAATAATGTAGAGTTAACACAGCTTTCATTACTCCTCCATTGAATTGGAAAAATTTCTATTTCCTTCTCTTTTCCTCTCATGCTGGCCCCTGCACTATTTATCATATCTCCTGGTGCCCTTACTTACACATCAAAAGGGATCTGCCAAGGTGAGCTGGTTTCTGTACCCATCGAGTTTTGAGTGAAGCCTTGTGAAGGGATGAAGGTGGACCCGGATGTAGTCAATTCTCAAGGGTGAACTCACTAGTTATCCATTCCTGGGATTCTAGAACCACTCACTTAACAGAGCTGGTGCACAGGAAATATGTTTGAGGAGAAATATTAATCTGCTTTCACATTATTTCCGGAGCTATTTCCTCTGCACAGCTGGTCTCAGCCATGGCTTCTTAACTTGGGGTCTACAGGTGACCAAAGAATGTGTACATGAACTTGAATGAAGAACATACACCCTTCTTTTCACTAAACTCTACCTGGAATTTAGCATTTCCTTTGAACATATAGCAATATTGGCAATGCCTGTGTCTTGTTGCCAATGGAAATTACAGATATTTTCATGTCATGTTAGAATTCTGCAGATATTTCAAAATATTGATTACACTCATCCATCACACTTTGAAATTACAAATCCCACCATAGAACACAGTATTTAATGCATAAATAAGGAGCACATTTATTCCTGTATCACAAACATGGTTTTTGATATTGTGATGACAGTATTATCAATATAATTGGTTTCTTTTGCAATCCTATGTATCTTTTTTTATATGTTTAAAACCTTATTCGGAAAAAGATCCATGGATTTCACCAGATTGCCAAAGGCATCCATGACACATAAAGGTAAGAAGCCCTAAAAAGTATATTTTGCTGTATTCAAGGGCTTGCTATGTGCTCACAGTTTCTAGAGGTCCATCTTATTGGTACCTAATTATTATTCTGACTTGGTTGACTTCTAAGAGTTAGTATTTTGAACTTGGTTTAGTGTCATTTGGAATTCTTTTTTCAATGCAAATAGAAAAATAAAATAAAATAAATTTTTTTCTACTTAACATCAATAGATAGATAGATAGATAGATAGATAGATAGATAGATAGATAGATATAGATACATTTGTTCTGAAAGAGAAGTGAACTGATTCTTAGGATTCTTAGGTCTTCTCTTTTCAGGGATTTGACTCTCTGCTCCCCAAGGGATAAATGAAAACACCTTGGATCACGAATCATTTCATAAGAGTCAGAATTAGACAAAAGGCATAAAATATGCACAATTTCAGCTTCTACTTGGGTCTGTTGCGAGCAGCAGCAAGCATTTACTGAACATTCACTATGTGCGAGCACATCCGCCTGGAGCTCTGCATCTATCAGTCCTCACATGGTTAGGATAAAACAGATACTTTCAAGAAAGAGTTTTGTGTCTCAGAGGAGGAAACTGAAGCTTCTAGTTATTCAGCAACTTTCTCAGGTCCCTCAGCTAGTGTCAGGGACAGGATTTAAAAAGGAACTACCTGGCCGTCTGGGCTTCAGATTTTTTAGAGAAACTGGGCATCTGTTAGAACAGTTTGGGAGCGAGATTCACGGACCCTAGCCAATACCAGGAGGCCCTGGTAAAGTTGAAACAGGTATCTGAAGAAGGCCAGGGTCTGCTCTCCATGTAGTCATCGAAGGCGCTGACAACATGCCACCCCAAGACGATATTCTCTGCCTCCATGCAAGGCAGAGAGGTGTGCTTTGCCAAATTCAGAACCCTGGAAAGAAGTGAGACTGTGCAGGACATTGTGTGTCGGAAGCTGGCCCTCCATCAGGGGCTTATTGAAGATTCCTTCTGCCCTGGGCCTGGGTGAAATCACCCAGTGCCTCTCCCTTCTATGCATGGGAAATGTCCTATTGTTTAGTTCTGTCATGGGGTGATTAGGAGTGCTTAGATATTTTCCCCCTGCTTTTTTTTTTCCCAAGTAGTTGAGCAGAGCAAACTTTTTAAAAATAATTTTTAAAACCCATTATGAATATTTGTAAAGACCTCCAAAGACTTCCTTGACACCCAGCAGGGTCCTGGGTCCTAGACACACGTCATCACTGTGTTATTGGTTGTCTCTTAATCTATAATTATTAGAACTCTACTTCATGGAGAATTTTTGCCCAACAACTTGATATTATGTGATAGTAGAAGATGGAGACTCTCATCCATTTCATCAGCATGCAATTCAACATGCCTCCTGCTCACAAAGTCAACTACTTTCATTTGGAGTTATAAGCTATTCCACAGGGACCCTCAGATGCACATCAAGAAAGCCAGGGAGTCTTGCTTGCAAATAATTTCCAGGAAGCTATATTTGACCTGTCAAGAGCCCCAGGGAAGATAGGCTGTCACCTGCACACATGAAGGACTCACTCAGGTAATTAAGCAGTGCCAATGAAG